TTTTGTTTTTGTTTTTTACAGCATAGTCCCCTTGAGCTGAACGGGAACCATAGTGTGGGGAGCAGGAGGGAGAGATTTAACCCTCTGCTTACTGCTATGATCCCTATCCAGATTGGGGGCCCTGTACCTGCAGTTTGAATAGAGGGGGAAATTTTGCATTGAAGTGAATGAGAGTTTCCCCCTAATGAAGACTGCAAGAGGTGGGAGGAGCCTAATATAGATTGGAATCACAATGGGGATAAAGAGTTAATGTCCCACCCACCCCCCGCCAACTGCTAGACAATTTGTGTAAGACAACCATGCACTTAAAAGTAAAGCACTGCACCTAAAATAATGTATAGTTTGCCCCTCAGAAGAACTGTTGCTGTACGTGAATCCATAATCACAATAATTCGTTGTGGTCCTTAAAATGTGGGTAAACTTGTCCAAAGAGAAGAGCACAAAAGTAAATGTAGAAGTCTTGAAGAAACAGGCACAATGGAAAGTAATGGAAAGAGTTAAAGATGTGTCAGCTACTTGAAGAGTATAATTGATTATTAGCATCTGAAGTGTGTAAGCATTAAAGAGGAAGATGATTTGAGTACATTATACAGAGCAGCTTAACTAGGAATAATGATAGGAAACTGAGGGTCTAACTGCATGTTGCAGGCAAATCTGTGGAGTAGAGCTTAATGTTGACCTTAAAAACATACACTCAGGGCTAGGATTTTGAGAGGAGAAGCACTTGCTATTTCACCATTCTAAATTGTTGCCCAAGTGGCTTCCACCAACGTGGTTCAAAATGCAGGTAAACACAACTTTTGAGCACTATGTGTGTGTGTATGTCTACATGTGTATGTGGGAAGCCCTATAAATGCAAGCAATTTGGAGCAGAGAAATAGAAATAAAGGCAGGGCCGGCCCTACTAATAGGCAAAATTAGGTGACTGTAGAAAGTCTGATGGCAGCCATTTCCTTCTGTTGGATAGTAGGTGTTTGAGCCACACGGCCTGTTCTGCACCCCCTGAACTAGCCCACTGCTGCCATGTGCAATGATGCCAGTGTTGAAGTAAAATCCACTCCAGTCGAGTACACCACATGGAGTAGGGAGTGGTGCCATCTTGTCTTTCGACTCAGGCAGCAAACTATCTTGGGCCAGCCCTGGGGAGAAGGCTCAAGATGCACAGTGGGACATCTTTCTTAACAAGTTTGCATACAATCAGGCTACCTGTGTGGTGTAGTGGTTAAGAGCGGTAGACTCGTAATCTGGTGAACTGGGTTCGCGTCTCCGCTCCTCCACATGCAGCTGCTGGGTGACCTTGGGCTAGTCATACTTCTCTGAAGTCTCCCAGCCTCACTCACCTCACAGAGTGTTTGTTGTGGGGGAGGAAGGGAAAGGAGATTGTTAGTTGCTTTGAGACTCCTTAGGGTAGTGATAAAGCGGGATATCAAATCCAAACTCTTCTTCTTCTACCACTTCTCATGACACTGTCACAAGGTTGCGCCCGGTTACAGGTTATTGTGTGCTCATTAATTCCTTTTGCTAGAAAAGGATCGAGAGGAGCAAATGTTTAATTTTCAACTCAGCATTGCCTGGCACAAGCAATGCAAAGGCAATGGGCCAGAGAACGTTTGACCCTCCAGGTGTTGCTGAACTACAGCTCCCATCAACCTCAGCAAGTGCAGCCAGTGGCTAGGAATGATGGGAATTGTAGTTCAGCAGCTTCTACAGGCCCAAGGGTTCCCCTCACCTGGGATAAAGAGAGCCCTAAATTTAGTCTACTGACCTCACACCTTCCCCACACCCAGAATAGTGTATTTGAGAAATCCATAACTACTCAGAAGTATCATGAGGTGTTTTTTTTGCAGAAGGGGGGATCTTGTAAGAGTCCTGTACCTGAACTCTCTACAGGAAGATGCTTTCATTGCTGATATTGATTTTAGTAAGCTCACACATTCTTCCTTCTCTTGCATTCCCGCAGCGCAACCTAAAAACTTATAAATAATAAATATAAGGGGAGAGGTGCTTTCCTTTCCTTTGATTATTACTGTAAGCATGATGCCACTCAGAGAGCCTGGTTTAGCCACTGCAGCATGACGTCAACGTATGGTGGTCAATTGACCAGAAGAAAGTGACTTGGCTTGCTCTTGAGCCTTTAAGAGCACTTTGAGCTCTCCAAATCATCAGGGAAGCTTTGCACAGCAGCAGAGAAATACGCATTATACCTGCTAATGCCTGCAGATCAAGATGCTTTTAAAGGCTAAGTAGCAGAGAGGAGTAGTAGTAGTAGTAGTAGTAGTAGTAATAACAACAACAATAATAAATATGTAATAGGTTTTTTTTAATTCTGAAAGACAGACATTCAGATGGTCCATCTGATTCATGGATTTTTGTGTCTTGCACTTGTGAAAAAGAGCTGTGATTAACTATGCTTCAGTCTCAAAGGTCTAGATAGGGTTTTCCAAACTTGGATCTCCAGCTTATTTTGGGACTACAGTTCCCATCATGATGGGATCATGGGAGCTGTAATCCAACAACAGCTGGAGACCAAGTTTGGGAAACTCTGGTCTTGATGGTACTTGTTGCCTCAATGTATCTTGTTTTCCCTGGGAGATCTCTAGCATGTCCACATAAAAAGCACAGGGCCCTGCTGGTTGAAGGTCCTGCCAAATGAATGTGTTAGCACTCAGCAGCCATGTCTTTAAAACTGCCTTTTGATGAGTTTTAGCCACATGCACAGGTATGCGCTGAAGCAATTGTGTGGTTGTAACATAACCAGAATTTTTTATGCTGTGTCTGAGGCCAAAAGACATACTAAGGGTGGTAGTGGTGGTGGGGAAAATAACTCAACATGAAGCAACCCAAACCTAAATGTAAGCAGTCCTGTGACTTATTTCATTCAAACTTAAGTCAAAGTGTCAAAGTGTTTGTTAATTTTCATAGGAACATTGGAAGCTGCCTTATTCCAAGTCAGAATATAGGCTTGTGGTTCGAGGACCCAATCCCCGCTTCGAGGAATAAAAACACGTGGACACAGTGTATAAGGTTAATGGGCAAGAAAAGGCCACAACTTTATTGATTACAGCAAGTGAGAAGGTATTGGCTTAGGCATTGGACCATGGAAAATTGACTCCACCCACTCGGAGAGGGGTGAGCCTAAAGAGGGGTTATTCACCAGTAGGGGGAGCCTGTTGATGCTAATCCAACTATAAGCTCTCCCCTGATGTCACCGAGGGTCGTGCCATGGCCCCCCACCACACAGGCATCGGACAGGATCCACGACCACCGGATTCCTTTAACGGAATACCCAAATTTGAAGGGGTAGGCGATGGCCACACCTTGCCCTTCCACACACCAACAATACATTCCAATGCCTAACCGCCACCCGAGCCCAAGAGGCTCGCCGCCAATACCCTTACAGCTGTAGAAATGGGTGGAATGGCTGGTGCGGCTGTATCTTAAACAGCAAACCACGCCCCCACCAAGCCACCCGGTTGGGTGCCTACCTGTTGGCGTGGCGCGCCAGCCAGGTGAATGGGGCAGGGGGCATAACACCCCCTGCATGACGCAGAAATCACGTCCCGCCCACAACACCTCCCCTCCGGGAGGAGGAGAGGCCTTATCTAGCACAGTACTGTCTGCACTGACAGGCAGCGACTCCTGGATTTCAGAGAGGACTCTCTCCCTGTCCTACCTGGGGGTGCAAGGGATTGAGTATGGGGCCTTCTGCATGCAAAGCAGTTGATGTACCCCATAGCTAGTGACTTCACATTCATTGATCAGAACGCTGGGAGATGAAGGCAAGTTTACTTCTTTCTTGGCTACTGGGTAGAATATCAGTCACACATTTCCCCTATATTTTCCATAACTAATGAATGGTAAAGACTGATGGCACTGTGGCAGGGATGCTGAAAGCAAGCAACCTTTGCTTAGTTCTTCTTCTTTGGCGATCACTCGTAGCCTAGTAAGATTGTCTTCCATAAACACGGTTTTAACAGTCAGTCAATAGGTGACTGTGGAGGCCAATTTTGGATCCACATGTCCTTCCACAGTGGGGACATAGGTTTCCGGGTGGGAGTTGATCATGGTGAGGGTTTGCCAAGCGTGCCTTCCTCTTGGCGCATTTCTCTCTTTTGTCCTGAGTTCAGGGGTCTTCAAAGCCCATGACACCTTTGGTAAAGGCTGTTCTCCAACTGGAGCGCTCGTAGGCCAGTGTTTCCCAATTGTCAGTGTCTACACTACATTTTTTGAGATTTGCCTTGAGAGAGTCTTTAAACCTCTTTTGTTGACCACCAGCATTACGCTTTTCATTTTTAAGTTCGGAATAGAGTAGTTGCTTTGGAAGACGATAATCAGGCATCCTCACAACATGACCAGTCCAACGAAGTTGATGTTGAAGAATCATTGCTTCGACACTGGTGATCTTTGCTTCTTCTAGTACACTGGCATTAGTTCACCTGTCTTCCCAAGTGATGTGTAAAAATTTTCGGAGACACCATTGAAGAAATCTTTCGAGGAGCTGGTTGCTTAGTAGTAGAGCACTTTCATTGCATGCAACATTTCCCAGGTTCTTCAGTACCTAATAGGTTTATGTAGGGCTGTGGAAGACTCCCGTCTGAAACTTCTGGGAATTGCTAACACCCAGCACAGACAGTACTTAGGTGGTGGACTTGGCATAAGGAAGCTTTCTGTACTGTATTCTGTTTCCTTCCTTAAGTTTAAAAGAAATAAGCTTCCTATGTTCCTAAACTGGATTTGCTGGAAGGAATTTTTCATTAAAAATTGAGGCGAATATTCAGGACAGAGACCCTGCCAGGTTTGGCCTGTCTGGTTTCTGTGAAATTCTGTGGATCGTGTTTGATGGCAACTGTAATATGTGCTTCTGTGGGCTGAAACTGGATGCATGATTGGGACATCTTTGAAGCTGATGGATGCTACAGAATTATTCTAATTTGGTTCCTTAGAGTATTCAGCTTGTTGTGAAACTGACCAAGCAACAGTGGTGCTTTTGCTGATTATTGCAGGAATGGATTGACCAAAAATTGTGCTGGAATCCGGAGGACTATGGTGGAATCACCGCAATTCGAGTTCCATCTGAATCTCTCTGGCTCCCAGATATTGTTTTGTTTGAAAAGTGAGTATACAGATCTTGACACTCATTTTTTACAGTACTTTTCGTACTTGTGTGCAGGGGTCTCAGGAGAGAAGCTGAAAGGTAGATAATTTATTTTCTTTGTATAGCAACATCTGTGTACTGTATGAAGCAGGTGTGGTGAACCTCCAGATTTTACTGAACTCAAACTCCCATCGGCTGAGATTATTAGCCACGCTTTCTGGGGCTGATAGGAGTTAGCATTCAGTAAAATGTGGGGGGCCAATGATTCCCCATGTCTGGTACAAAAAGACAGATCTAAGCCTCAACGACAGGCATGGCCAAACTTGGCCATCCAGCTGTTTTGGGACTACAACTCCCATCATCCCTAGCTAACAGGACCAGTGGTCAGGGATGATGGGAACTGTAGTCCCAAAACAGCTGGAGGGCCAGGTTTGGCCATGCCTACTCAAGGAGCTTATAGTCAAAAAATTGACATACAAAATGGGTGGGTGGGTAGGAATAATAGCAAGAACAACAGAAGAATATATACACATGTATTTGAAGTTATTTAGAGCTAGTGGCTATAGGAGAATAGTAGATTATTACCCTTGCCTTCTCCACCTCTTTTCTAGCCCCAAACATGGTCCTATTCTCTTTCTCTTCCAAGGGCTTACAGTAGGCATGTCATTAGGGGACCAGCAAGTTGGGGTGGGCTGTGCCAGGACCTTGAGAAGGGTCCTTGAGAAGTGTTATAGACATGGAGTAAAATCTTGGGGAGAGGCCCAGCAGTGTAACCTCCCAATATTTACAGTCACTACAAGCATTTGCCTCTATTTGGTCATTCAGTAGCCCTGGAGAAAACAATAGCCTATTTCCAAAATGCCCTGTCTCTACCCATAAACTTAGGACTCAATTCAGTAATGAATTTTATATTGTTGAGTAATTTTTGTTTTATTTATTGGTTTTATTTATTTATTTATTTATTTATTGGGACGCGGGTGGTGCTGTGGGTAAAACCTCAGCGCCTAGGAATTGCCGATCGTATGGTCGGCAGATCGAATCCCGCAGCGGGGTGAGCTCCCGTCGTTCGGTCCCAGCTCCTGCCCACCTAGCAGTTCGAAAGCACCCTTGGGTGCAAGTAGATAAATAGGTACCGCTTTATAGCGGGAAGGTAAACGGCGTTTCCGTGTGCTGCGCTGGTGCTGGCTCGCCAGAGCAGCTTCGTCATGCTGGCCACGTGACCCGGAAGTGTCTGCGGACAGCGCTGGCTTCCGGCCTCTAGAGTGAGATGAGCGCACAACCCTAGAGTCTGTCAAGACTGGCCCTTACGGGCAGGGGTACCTTTACCTTTAATGGTGGTTTTAGTGTTGCTGCCTTGGGAGCTTGTGGGTGAAAGGCAGATTACGAACATCTGGAATAAACGGATGAATAAGTACTAAAAGGCTGCTGAAACATGGAACAATTTATTGCAACCTGTTTATGATTACGTACCTGTCTACCATCTACCAAAGCGATGGGAAGCAAAATCAGAATATAAGAAAAAGAATTGGAAACAGCAGCTTGGAAACACTATTCAAATAGTTTTTCTTCCCTACTCTCCCCTTTCCAGTGCTGATGGGCGCTTTGAAGGTTCCTTGATGACAAAAGCAATAGTCAAATACAATGGGATAGTAGTCTGGACTCCTCCAGCCAGTTATAAAAGTTCCTGCACTATGGATGTCACCTTCTTCCCATTCGACAGACAGAATTGTTCGATGAAATTCGGATCGTGGACCTATGATGGCAACATGGTAGACCTAATTTTAGTCGATGAAAATGTGGACAGGACAGATTTTTTTGATAACGGAGAATGGGAAATCCTAAATGCCAAGGGGATGAAGGGAAACCGAAAAGACGGATTGTATTCCTATCCTTTCATTACCTATTTTTTTGTTTTAAGACGACTACCATTATTTTACACTCTCTTCTTAATCATCCCATGTCTGGGATTATCTTTCTTGACCGTGCTTGTTTTCTACTTGCCTTCTGATGAGGGAGAAAAACTCTCACTGTCCACCTCGGTTTTAGTCTCCCTTACTGTTTTTCTCTTAGTCATTGAAGAAATCATCCCCTCTTCCTCCAAAGTCATCCCTTTGATTGGCGAGTACTTGCTGTTCATCATGATTTTTGTCACCTTGTCCATCATCGTGACTGTTTTTGTAATCAACGTGCACCATCGTTCCTCGGCCACCTACCACCCGATGGCTCCTTGGGTGAAGAGGCTCTTCCTTCAGAAACTGCCCAGGCTGCTCTGCATGAAAGGACATGTAGATCGCTATTCATTCTCTGATCCCAAAGGGACACAGAAAGAAAAGCCGACAAGGAAGCATAAACACAAACAATTCAAAGACGGAGAAAAAGTTGTGATTGCCTTCCTGGAAAAGGCTGCTGATTCCATCAAGTATATCTCTGGGCACGTGAAAAAGGAACACTTCATTAGGCAGGTATGTTAGTTCAAAAACAGGCAGGTATCATCATCATCATTTATTATTATTTATACCCCGCCCATCCGGCTGAGTTTCTCCAGCCATTCTGGGCAGCTCCCAACAGAATATTAAAAACACAATAAAACATCAGACATTAAAAACTTCCCTAAACAGGGCTGCCTTCAGATGTCTTCTAAAAGTCAGATAGTTGTTTATTTCCTTGACATCTGATGGAGGGTGTTCCACAGGGTGGGCGCCACTACCGAGAAGGCCCTCTGCCTGGTTCCCTGTAACCTCACTTCTCGCAGTGAGGGAACTGCCAGAAGGTCCTCGGCGCTGGAGCTCAGTGTCCGGGATGAACAATGGGGGTGGAGACGCTCCTTCAGGTACACTGGGCCGAGGCCGTATCAGTCACACTAAGTCAACATGGGGATTCTAGTCCAAAAAAGGTAGGTTGACTGTGTGTGCAGAATCAGGCCAAGAGTCTCTTAGCCCAGCATTTGCTTAATCCTAGGTGATCTACTTGAAATTGGCTCATATCCATGAGTGAACCATGTTTCACCTTCTATCTACCCCGTTAGATATTTAAAAAGTGATTGTTTGCACCTGACTTGTGTTATGGCTTATGCTAGCTAAAAATACCATTTATAGTCATTTATAAATATCAAAGGCCACAGGGAGTGGTGTTTTTTCGAAAGGCAGAAACTTTGAGAGAACTATTCATGATAAACTTAATTGTTACACAAATTGATAACTAAATTCCAAGCATATTTCAAAGCAGCTCTTCAACTGTGCAAAATACTTGTGAAACTCACGGCCATCATTTTCTTTTCTAGGTGGTGCAAGACTGGAAGTTTGTAGCTCAGGTCCTTGACCGTATCTTCCTATGGCTATTTTTGGTGGTGTCTGTGTTGGGCTCTGTTCTTATATTTACTCCCGCTTTAAAGGCATGGTTGCAAAGTGGAAGTAGTATTGTCTAGAAATAAGAACATGGGAATCTGCGGAAGGAAGGAAGGAAGGAAGGAAGGAAGGAAGGAAGGAAGGAACTGAATAGACTCAGAGTCAACACTGGTGCATACTGAACTGGAAACGACACTGCCACTGGTGGCAATTGGTATTGTTGATGATTGTACCCTCCAATCAACTTTTAAGGCTGAATCCTATGCTCGCTTACCTGAAAGTCCTGTGAACTAAATTGCATTTACTTCTGAGTAGAGAACCATAGGATGGCACTGTTAGCCTTTCAAATTGTTGCACAAATGAAGACATCCAATTCTGTATCTGTAGGTGTTTATCAGCTAATACAGATACAGTCGCCATTGAAAGATAAGCCTCTATGTATTCAAGCACATAAGCCAGACATATGTAGACCACAAACATATTGATTTTGCATCAGTTTAAACGATTGCAAAACGAAAGAATCCTTTGACTTGTAGTGTGTTGTGTTGAGGATTATCTGTGGGGAGTCCCTAACGCTTCTCTGTCCCCAAGCACTTGAAAGACCAGAGAATGCCCACCATACCATTTTGTCAGTGGCATAGATGCACCCTATTTTGAAAGTTTTGTTTTTATTTTTAAATCGTGTCCAATATTATTAATACAGCAATATATCTTTGACACTGGGAAGATTTTATAGATATCTATATGAACTATAAAAACCATGTTAGTCCTAAAAGATCTGCATCAGTAGACCTTGCATAATTTCATTCAGCCATATTCAAACTTGGTTTCAGCACTTAAATGTACATATTCCATTTTATGCAAATTGTATGCAGAAAGGTGAGGTCTCTGTGTATTTGTTGCACTAAATGTGTTTTCAAAGATATTGAATAATAATATAAAGGCATAGGGCACTTGTGCATAAGCTTGATGAAGAGTAAATATAATAAGCACAGATATTATATATCTATATCTATATATAACAATTAATAACTGAGTTTACATGTATATTTATGCATACCACTCAAGTGACCTGTCATTATGAGTGACATCTCATATCTATTTTCAGTTTTGAAAGCCATTCTCAGTTCCTCCTTTTGGTTTGCCCAGGTCTTACATCTGTTCTTGGTGCCCCTCAATTTCTGGAAACTTTTGCCACGTTTTAAGCAATGAATCATGCTGGAGAGAGATATGAGTAAGACTTGCCAACGAGCCCAGCAAGGGCATATGTATCTCTGTTGCCATTGGAGACTTGCAGGCCTTTGACTGGTGTTTTTTGTTTTCACACATGTGGATTTCCTACCTCTCAGATGGGGAACATCTTTCACCCCCAAGAGCCACATATATTCATGGGGACCCTTATGGGGCCACATACCAGGGGGTGGATGGGGCCGGGGGGGAAAGTAGGCAAAGCAGTGGGTACGACTCTTACATTCTAACCTTGCAAAAGTCAGGTGCTTTGATATTTACCCAAATCTCAGCCTCCTCCATCCAGACCAGCAAGAGGCATTTTCATAGTTCAAGGCATATTCCAGGCAAGCAAGGAGGTCCTAGAGCAGGGATGCTGAAGATGTAGCCTGAGGGCCAGATGGAAGGCTGCATTTGGCCTGCTGGCCTGAGGTTCCTCATCTCTGCTGTATTCAGATTACAGTGGTACCTCGCAAGACAAATGCCTCGCAAGACGGAAAACTCGCAAGACGAAAGGGTTTTGGGTTTTTTGAGTTGCTTCGCAAGACGATTATCCCTATGGGCTTGCTTCGCAAGACGGAAACATCTTGCAAGTTTGTTTCCTTTTTCTTAAAACCGTTAATACGGTTGCGACTTGACTTCGAGGAGCAACTCATAGCACGCGGTGTGGTAGCCTTTTTTGAGGTTTTTGAAGACTTTGGTGATTTTTGAAGCTTTTCCAAAACTTTTCCAAAACCGTGCTTCGCAAGACGAAAAAATCGCAAGACGAAAAAACTCGCAGAACGAATTAATTTATCTTGCGAGGCACCACTGTATAACTTTCCAGGGTCGGAAGTGTCATGGTGGAGTTGACGTTGTGTGGGGCACACATGTTTATTTCTTCCTACACTATCACAGACTCCGATCCAAGGGGTTTTTGCAAGTTTCTGTAGCTCGTCAAGCATCACTGGATGAAACCAGTGCCAGCTCCTAGTAGTACCCCCAGAAGAATACTGTGCTCATTTTGGTGTGACGGTTGTGATGGTTCCCATGATGAGTAGCACAGTATCTGGAGTAGCTTAGAGCTGCCTGGAAAGATATTTTTTTAAAAACGTTTTTTAAGGACATGAAAATGTGAACGTATTCCATTGGTAGTGCTTTAAAAACAGGTGCTGGAGAAAATAAATGCACTACTTTCTCTCACCTTTACAGTGAGGCTGCCCCCCCCCCCCATTATCCTTGCAAAGTGACCAGTGCTAGAGTTGGGGGGCAGGAATACTGTTGAAGGAGAGAGACCACGCTTCCATTGCTCTCCATCTGCGATTGCCTGTGTATGCAGCCTAACTGTGAAGCCGGTCACACACGGCTTTGGTGGTGAGCTAATCTGCTTGGCAGCAGTAAACAACAGCCAAGGAGCTGCCAGGTCTTGTAGACATCGCTTTGCGATCCAGTTCCACGCTAGTGAAAAGCATCAGCTGGGCTCAGTTCCCTCCAACCGTATTGCATGCTGCTGCTACTTAGTTCAATTTTTGGCACAAAAGGAACCCTAGATGCCGCAATAGTAGACAAGCATGCACACAGATAGGAAGGCCAAGCAGATCTTGGGGTTGTTCCAGACCTTCCAAGTGTCTCTATTTTCCAGGGATAGTCCTAGCTTTACAGAAGCCATCCCAGTTTCTGAATTTGATCCTGGAATGTCCCTGATTCCTTAGGATGCCCCTGTTCCCATTGGAGAAATGTTGAAGGGTATGGCGTCCAGGTCCACATACAGGAATTTTACAGTACAGTGGTACCCTTGGGTTTCATACACTTCAGGTTACAGACTCCGCTAACCCAGAAATAGTGCTTCAGGTTAAGAACTTTGCTTCAGGATAAGAACGGCGGCAGCAGCAGGAGGCCCCATTAGCTAAAGTGGTGCTTCAGGTTAAGAACAGTTTCAGGTTAAGAACAGACCTCCGGAACGAATTAAGTACTTAACCCGAGGTACCACTGTACAAAAGACCAAAGATTGGAATAGAACTTGTCTAGTGTGCTCAGTTTATCCTATCCATATTTTTTAAATTTTATTTTTAAAAGGAAACAAGTGCCAAGTACTCACCAAGCTATTCTGAGACCAAAAATGAAATTTGACACAAATCGTGCATGCAGCATGCAAGCCTTGAGGCTCGCAGCATTGCCCCATCTGGTAAAGAGCGTATATACTGGGGCGAAATAGTCCACTAAGGAAATTGCTTTCCGCTCTGTGTTCACTCTGCACCCCCTAGGCTCAACCCTAGCGCAGGAAGTAAAAAGTAAAATGTCACAACGTGCTAGAAAACCTACCTGTCCTGTATGTGAGCTTAGAACCGCTTTGGATGCTAGATTGTTGTCGCAGGCAAGAATTGTGCATGGGTGTAAACATAATGAATAAAAGCAATAATGACTCATGAGACGGAGGGTGTTGTTTTTGTGTGTCGACAAAGAACTGGTGGTGGTGGTGAAACTTAGCAGTGGGAAAAGGCTGCGGCTGAGTTCTAAAAATAGGTAGAAAGGACATTCCAAGGCAGCCAAGTGCTCAGGGCTAATTTTCATATAATTCTTTCCCCCTCTGTCCTTGTGGAGCATCATCATGAGTGGAGTGTGACATTGCCACTTGCCCCACATATGGCCAGTCCCAGGTGCATGGCTGCTCTCCAGACCATCTTTGCTATTCTCTTTGATATCTAATGTTCAATTTCAGATGCCGCCTCTAATTTCACAGTGCTTAGAAGAAACTGTGTGCAGAATCCTGGATGAAATATATGCACATCCCGCTTTTCTTTGCGTTATAATAAGCAAAGGGGCCGACATTTTGTGAAATAACTGTTAGCTGTGAAACAACACACCCCACACAGTAACATAAGCATAATAGGCAACAGCAACAGGGTAAATAAAAAATGGCAGCCAATCAGTCAGGCATTGTTGTTGTTGTTGTTAGTCGTTTAGTCGTGTCCGACTCTTCGTGACCCCCTGGACCAGAGCACGCCAGGCCCTCCGTGTCTTCCACTGCCTCCCGCAGTTTGCGTCAAACTCATTAGTTGGTAGCTTCAAGAACCCCCTACTCCAACCAGTGCTCGCTCCTCTGTCGTCCCCATTCTCCTTGTGCCCTCAACTCTTCCCAACTTCAGGGTCTTTCCCAGGGAGTCTTCTCTTCTCATGCAGCTGGCCCAAGTATTGGAGGCCTCAGCTTCAGGATCTAGTCCTTCCAGTGAGCACTACCGCATACACAAAAGCTGTGAACCCTACATCCAGTAAGTCAGGTCCGTCAACTTCGGTGCCAACCAACCTTCTCCAACCTCTATGCCACCTCTCTCCCAGCATCGGCCAAAAGTTCATGCGGCCTAATGGAGAAATTGTCGTCCTTAAACATCTGGAGGTTGTCAGGGTAGAGGGAAAACTATGTAGGTGGGCACATGAAGATTCCACTGAGATAATTTAAAGGACCTTAAGTACATGTAGTTAAATACTTGAGCATGGGCGGGTTTAACTCAAAACAGCCTCTCTGAAACAGCAAAATGCGTGTGAAATTCTTCCACAGCATCTTAATTTAATTAAGTCAAATCTCTGAGCAATCAGCAGTGATTTAATTAAAAAGCTGGGGGCTGATTAACCAATGATTTGATCTAATTTTATGGTCACGAGGACTTTGAGATATATTTTAAGATCATCCATCTTGTGGAATTTCCTCAACAAATATAAAACTTTACAGCAGCTTGACACCTCAGATTGCACACAGTCACTCCTAAAAGAGACAATAGTCTTATGTTTCTGCCTGCTCAAGTTCATAAAATGAACCTGCCTAGATGTGTAGCATAGATTACACACCTACTGTATGTCAGTGAATAAAACAGAAGGCTCCACAATATCTCAGTTACTGCAGCGGTTAAGATCCAAGCTTCTATCTATGGCCTTCAGAATTCCAGACCTACTGTTCCTCTTCTGCAAAGGGCATCACAGGCCTACAGCTTTAAACTAGGAACTACATTTAGATTGGCACGATACACTTAGCCACAGCTTCTTCCAAAGAAGCCTGGGAATTATGGGCTCTGTCTACACATGCAGTGTGATAGAAACCTGAGGTGGGAGAATGGACCTCACCACATCATAAGGCAGGTGGGGGAAACCACATTTTTGAATGCTCCTTAAGAAAAATTTACTTCCAGCAAAAATAAGTAGCACAGCAGGAGGAGAGAGCTAGGCTGGACACATTCACCCATCGGTGTTAATTAGCTACTTAATGTAATATATGTGGAAGGGCATTCAGAAA